TGATTTTAATTAAATAAACAAAATATTTAAAATCTATGCTACTATGTTAATGTGCTTGAAGGGATATAAAGCCTGATTTTTTTTTAAAATGTGGTTTGGTCTAAATGATGGGGCATGTACAGATGCTCATGTTAGTCTCATGCTCATATTTACATTGTTTCTCTTCTACCTTACTGATTTACTAGATATAAGAAACGGTTTTCCAGAGCCTGTTTTTTTTTTAAACAAGTAACTGGCTTGGTGAGAACAGGATCCAGCTTTAGATAATCTAAAAAATTACTGAAATAGCAATAGGGGCAGTCAATGTAGTCTTGTTATCGGGTTGATTTGCCATTGATGTGGGTAATTTAATTATTTCATTAGCTAGTGACACTATCTGAGGGTATACATGCAAAATTTCAAATAAGTGTGATAATTAGTTCCCTAGTAATCCTCAGTGAAGGATCATTCACAAAATCATTCACAAAGAGATGGTGGCCGTTTACCAGGACTCTGCACCTTTATTATTTATTGTTCAAAAGTGGTCAAGTGAATTTAAAAGGGGCAGAGAAAGCAATGAAGACGACCCTCACTTGGGCGGGCTGGTTACTGCCCCTACGAAAGAAAATGTGAAAAAAAGGGAGAAACTTGTATTGGAAGAAGCCCGAATAAAAATCAAAATTTTAGCAGACAAACCTATCCGTTGGTACCATATTTACTATTTTTCATGACCATCTTAATTTTTCAACGGTCTGTGCACGATGGGTGTCACGAATGCTCATGGTGCCTCAGAAACAAGTGTGAGTTGAGTGCTGCAGGGTTTTTAGAGCTCTGTGGTAAAGATCCATCAAGTATTTTCGACCAGATTGTTACTGGAGATGAAACTTGGGTTCATCACTATGACCCTGTAAGTAAGCAGGAGTCCATGCAGCGGCATAAAAAAGGTGCTGACCCTCCAAAGGAATTCAAAGTCACTCCAACAGCCGGAAAAATCATGGCTACAGTGTTTTGAGACTCAAAGGCAAGTTTATTGATCGAGTACATGAAAAAAGGTGAAACCATAAATGCAGCATCTTATGCAACCACTCTGCATAATTTAAGAGAAGCAATTAAAGAAAAAAGGTGGGGAAAACTGACTGCAGGTGTGTTGCTTCTTCACAACAATGCGCCTGTTCACACAGCACGTGTTTGGAAGGCTGCTGTGCGAGACTGTGATTCCAAAGAAATAAACCAACCACCCTATAGCCCGGACCTGGCCCCCAGTGACTATTACCTATTCCCAAATTTAAAAAAAGATCTTCATGGAAAGCGATTTCCGATGATGGAGAGCTCAAGGTGGCAATTAACACTCATTTTTTAGACAAGGAGGAAGGGTATTTTTTACAGGGAATTGAAATGTTAATTTCTAGATGTAATAAGTGTATTGAAGTTATGAGGGATTACATTGAAAAATGAAAATTATTTCAATTTAGTATTTTTCTTCATGCTGATACCGAGAATACATTGAACGCCCCTCGTAGCTGAATGCAATGGAACCAAAGAGTTTATGCATTGCACCAATAAGTTCCTTGCAATTCCATTAACAAATGCAAAGCCTTAAATAAATTTGGATTGAACATGTACACATTGCAGAGAACACCATAATCTAACTAGAGTTGGATCCATGGGAAAGACATACTAGTGCTAGCCAACACTTAATAAATTAATAACAAACCGAGACACATCCATGTTTATTGAGAAGCAAGTCTCACTGTGTTCAATGAGGCTTATACTCTAATCTAGCATGTCTAGCACCACAGTCTCAACAGCAGCAGACTAAACAGCAGACTAAACTACTGCTTCACACATACAAGTTATTATTTATCTATGATGAAAACAGCTTATAAAACAGTAGGCTATTAGTGATACAATATGATGAAATGAACAGCGTTTCCTATTTACTTAAAAGATTATTTGGGTTTAAACCACTGGAAAAGAAAAGCATAAAAGAACTTTTCTTTCCTATGAAACCACACAGTGATATGGAAAGATGAAACTGAAGAGCAACTGTCAGTATTATTAAAGTAGAAAAGAAGATAGAAAGGAGGCTTCCATTTAATGCTGCAGAGATATAATGCTCGCTGTCAGTTCGTATGTACCCCATTGACTGAATCCCAAACTCACATGAGCAGAACTCAGCTTAGAGGATGGGGGGATTTCAATGTTTCTTCCTTTCCCTTGCAGACCCATGAAAAGTTGAAGAGAAGATAAAGGATATATTATTCTCCTATTATTCTCATATAACCCCAGTCCTCTATTGGCTCCATTGGCTTCCCATCGAAGTCCGGGCTCAATTCAAGGTGCTGGTTATTACCTACAAAGTCCTAAACGACTTGAGACCAGGATACCTAAAGGAAGGCCTTTTTCCCTATTTGCCCTCCTGCCCCCTGAGATTGACAACAGAAGCCCTCCTCCGGGAACCATCTGTGAAAGACGTTAGGAGACAGAGTACCTGGAGGAGGGCCTTCTCTGCGGTGGCACCCCAACTGTGGAATGTGCTCCCCAAAGAGGTCCGCCTGGCGCCATGATTATATGTTTTTGGCACCAGGTTAAGACCTTTTTATTTAACCAGTATTTAATATGTTTTAATATTGAATTTTAATATTGTATTTGCAGCCAGAGTGGGTCGTTAATTTATTTATGCTGCTAGCCGTCCAGAGATGCAGGTAATTGGATGGTATACAAATTTCATAAATAAATATATAAAGGGACGGCACTACAGACAAAAATGAAAATTGCCTCCTCCTACCCCATCTCATCATCATCATCATCACTACTGCTACTAACATTTCTATACCACCCATAGCTGAAGCTCTTTGTGTGGTTCACAACATTTAGCTCACCCATCCAAATTTCAACCAGGTCCAATCCTGTTTAGCTTCCAAGATTAGGCAGGATGAGGCCCTTCAGGCTATATGGAAGCTATATAAGGAGTTCTCCATTGGATCTCAATTCCTTCCACAAATGGAAGAAGTCATTCTGTTTATAGAAGGGACACTAGTTTCAACCCAGTGAGCTTAGGAATACCTCACTTCATGTAAGACCATACTGTTGGTTAGGTATAAACTAGGGAAATGGTCTAAAGCTAAACTAAGCTAGGTCTGGGTGAGAGAACATTTTGAAACCCTGTGTATACCAGCTTGGGTTCCATTAAAGACAGATTCTAAACATAATAAATGAGAAAAAGCCTCATTGATCTCAGTGAGACTAACATTCAGATCAACATGGATGTGTGCTGGGCGGCAAAAGGATTAATGCAGATATATAACAGCAGCTAGAAAATGTTAAAGGAATTGTGGTATGCAGGCTGCAAGCAGACCACTTCTTCAGACATCATCAGCTTCAATTAGTTTTTCACCTCAATCTGCATTATCAAATTCAATATCTGTTTCTCCCCAGCTAATGTGGACTAGTGGAGTAGCCTCCACTTTTTGCCCTTACTAACATAAGATTGTAAAACACAAGCTGCCACCTACACTTTCTTACGCTGGTCGAGCATGTGCTTTATCTGCAAAAGGTCTGCAAGGCAATCCCTAGGATCTTCATTAGGACTAAGAAAGACTATTGTTTGAAAGTTGCTAACTAGTTAGAGTGCTAGACAATACTGACCAAGATGGACCAAAGGCCTGACAAGTGTGAGGCAGTTTCCTCTCTATTGTCGAATAATATAAAGTCCACTGACAATTGGACTGGATAAATGACCTGCATGGAGTCCTGGGGCAAGCAAAGCAACAGCATAAAATCTGAACTATGTTATGCACCCATGCCCAACAATGTTCAGGGGCCATAGGATCATTCTCTCCATATTAAAATGTCAAAATTAAATGTGGTAACACAGTCAAGACATTTAAAGCCTGGATTCCAACTAAATCTTCATACATTTTCAATGTCCAAAGAAAATTGCAAAACATAATTTTGTGCAATAGCTCAGTTGAACACAAATATCAGAAAGAACTTATACATATACTTAGGTCAACATTTTTAGTTTTTAGCTATAAACCTCATTCAGTTCAACCCTTGCCCCTTCTTTCAAAGGGAACAGAGAACATGTAAAACACAACCTTATGTATTTTCTCAAAGACCAAAACACTGGAATAAAAACAGCCTCAAATGTAACCATCAGCTTTGCCCCTGCACCAGTTTTCAGAAGAAGGGGAAGGAGACTGCAAAACAAAATGCACTATGGTATCAGAAGGTATTTCAATTACTGTGTTTTATTGTTAAACAGTGAGTGAACTGGCAGTGAGGATACCAATGAATGGATTTGACTGATGAAATTACCTTTGTTTACATGTGTCAGCGTGAGGATGCACATAAAAGCAATCACTGTACAAGAGTATACTGAGTAAAATCAGCCCTTGTGTACATTTACCTGACTTCATGGAGAATATGTCGAAATGAATAGCACCAGTATGTGGCTTTACATATTACCCAATCATTTTATACTGTATAGAAGTCTCCAAATGATATCAGGTGGCATAGAATATTTCACATATTGCCCAGATACTATCATTATTTTCATTTCTATGCTGCCCCGAAGATGCAACTCTCTGCATGTAAATATTTTTTTTCCATTTGGACACACTGTAAATTAATCAAAGTATGTGATATGCACATTGTCCTACATGACTCAACACACAGTTTCCCATTCTTTTTTCGAATACATGCATATTCTCCATGATTTCTGTTGATCAAAATTGTTCCTTTTTATGCACATTCTCCATTCAGCTCACATCAGTCGCAACTATATGCCGTGACAGACAGAGATAAGTAGCAGAAGCAGTGAAGCTGCAAGACAGCACTTCCCTTTCACTCAGTGAGGTATTTTTGTAGCTGCACACTGGCTCGGGAGGGCACCACGCGGCATTTTTGCAAACTTTTCCAGGGATCCATGTGCTTGTTTTAACTCACTTAGGGACAATCCTATGGATTGCATGTCCTCGCAAGGGTCATACCATCGTGGCACTGAAAGGCGCACCTACCAGGCAGTGGCCGGTCCAAAGCTGCGCCCATTCCTTCTGCCATTGTTCCCCTCTCAATCTTTTCTGGTCCGAAAGAGAAACCGCTCCAATCCCCTCCTCTTACCCAGCGGCTCAACCTTTTGCCGTCACCATCGTCTGCCCGCCCCTCACCGAGATCATGTGAGAGGCTATTTAAGCAGAATCACGAGGTTTTGTTGTTGTTTGCGCGCTTGCGAAGACATAGGAGCTGGTCGGTGCCCCCGTCCTCGGGGTCACGCGAGGACTCCTGTCCCTCAGGAGCCCCTCTCCGGCATTTACTTGTCAGTATGTCGTCTTCGTAAAATGACTGGAAATTTAGGGCGATGGGAGTGTGAAATTTTTAGCCCAGGTTTTCTCAGTAGATAGGTGATGAATGCAAGGGCGATCACAACAACAGCAAGCCTTCCTTAGGAGGCAAAAAGAGTGATTAAACCCAAGGACTGGGGTTTATTTATTATTCAACTTATATTACGCAGTTAATTAGTTCCAAGAGCTCTCTAAGCGGATTACAATGTAACAAAACGAATTACCAAAGACTAGGGGCTGTTTGGAAGAACAGTTTGATTTTTTCATGTTTACTTAACATAAACACATATGTATGATGTGTCATGCCCAATAATACCACAAATAAACCTAAATGTCATTTCTGTGCAATTCTTTTCAGGGTGCCATCCCATGGTTTAGACTAAAAAATAATAATAATCTATGCCTCCCAGCATGCCCCTGCAGAACTGGCTGAGAGTGGTAGGCCTTTTTTCCTCTTTAAACTTGCATAGGATTGCACCATAAATTGATTCAGTTTACAGACTCAGCTGTCCCTTATCAAGCGTCTAAAAATCAATCAATGCAAGGATGAGGAATTAAGTTACTGGTGAGGAATGATGGGAATTAAATATTAACTTTTGTAGTGAGTGGTCAACCCTAGAACCATGCCTTCTGGTCAGGGACACTGGAAGGGACTTGCCTGAAAAGAAAATGAGAGGTCAGGCATTTATGCACATACATGTGGTGTGGTCTAGTGGTTACAGTCATGGGCTTGGGACCAGGGAGACCCAAGTTCTAGTCTTCACTTGGCTACTTTCATCTGCTTCACAGGGCTGCTGTTGTAAAGCTAAAATGGACTAAAAGAGGGCTATATAGACTGTTTTTTGCAAGAGAAAAAAATGTGGGATATCAATATGATGATGCATGAACAAGAACTGAAAAGAGCACTTAGATGCATTAGTGAGGGGTGCAACCTCGCAACTCGTGTGTGTAGCCTCAGGGAATAGATCACGAGGAAGAGATGTGGCTGGTATTGACAAAAAATGCGTGATCGTCTCTAATTCCAGAGTTAGAACAGAGCCGTTTCTGCTGTCGCTAACCCTTCCTTTTGAGTGGATACACTGCTGCCCCCCACAACTAGACCAACTCCTGTTGCGTGTAACTACGGTTTTCAGTGGACAGTGCTTCGCTCAGCAGCCGAGCGCCAAGAAGACACCAGGCATGTCCTGCTCTAGCCCACCACCCATTGCCCCTCCAGCCTTTTCCTTGCTCTACGAGCCGCCCGGAGCCGACAGCAGCTTGGGCGGCAGGCTAAGCCCGCCTGGACGAAACGCGCATGCGGCTGGGCAGGGCCTATGGCCGGGCTGCCTCCTGCCGACGCCGAAGCCGCTGGCTGCTATTGGGTTACGTTAGGACACCGGCCGGCTAGGCAGGTGGGAGTCCCCTGCCGCCGTCTCCGCGGCGATGGGCTTAGACTGGAGCAGCCCCGAGGAGCGGGAGCCCCTCCTGCCGCCGCCGTCGCCCGCCGTGCCCCAGCAGTATCCTCAGCATGGGCAGTCCCGGAGGGCGCCAGGCCCCTCGCGGATGGCGCCCCGGGGCCGAGGGCTGTCTCCGGTGGGGAATCCGGGGCGCCTCTCGCCGACGCCGGGGCGCGTCTACGGGCGGCGCTGGCTGGTGCTGCTGCTCTTCTCGCTGCTGGGCTTCGTGCAGGGCCTGGTGTGGAACACCTGGGGCCCCATCCAGAACTCGGCCCGCCAGGCCCTCGCCTTCTCCAGCTTGGACATCGCCCTGCTCGTCTTCTGGGGACCCATCGGCTTCGTGCCTTGCTTCGCCTTCATGTGGCTCATGGACAAGAAGGGTAAGGGCCAGGGGAAACGGGGGCTCCTACTGCTGCTCCGCGCCATGGGGGGAGAGCTGCTTTCTTGTAAAGGAATGAGCGTGGCTGATGAGAAATGTCTTTATGAAACGATGCGCACAACAACCCTGTGAAGGGAGGTTGTCACTCAAGTTTGGCACTTCCTCCTACTCCACTCACGTGATGTGGTAAACATACCTCACATAAGCAGCATTTCTAGAGTAAGAGGATATGTTATAACTCCTAATTTTATTGAACAGAATTTTAAATAATGTATAGATTTCTTCATCCACTCTGTGTATTTCCTGTTGTGTGTTTGCTGATATTCTTGAGGGTTTTGGGAGGGGAGGTTGGCAACGTCCCCTTCAAGGGCCCTGTTCTGCTCTTCGGATGGGATGAGGATAAGTAGCTATTAGCTGCTTGAAGCTGTCACTGTCCCTGATTCACCTAGTTGGGCAACTAATCTTCCACCTGCTCAGCTATTCTCTGGACAGTGCAGCAGTTGGGATTTGGTGGACTGGACAAAGTTCTCTCTACTGTCTTGTCTAGAGGAATAGGAGGATAGAAGTTCAGCTATTGGCTGGAAAGAGCAGATCTAAATGCTGATGCAGTCTTAAATGGATGGAGGCAGTGGCTACTTCATGCTAAATGTCACTCACCAGAGAAACAGCCACTTCCTCCTCCCCAGCAGAGTCTTCTGGCAACCCCATGATGGATTATATCTTGGTACTACCTAGCAGGAGAGGGCAGGCAAGTGAATGGAGCTGGTTGCTCCCCAGAAGGTGTGGCTTGCTTACCCAAGGGGCAGACCTAGCCAAAAGTTATCATTTTTTGCTTGGTCTTGCTGACCAAAGCAAAACGTTATAGTTATTAGCAACTTCCTCTCCAGGCAAGCCCTACTACTTACTGTTCAAAATTGAGTACAGCAGGAGAAGAATTGAAACAGAGAAACAGAGTGAGTCAGAAGGTGCTTCCCTGGGGCATCTAGTCTGACTGGCTCCAAACCAGCACCACTCATGATATGCCTACCATGATGTAAGTCACCCTGAGTTCATTGGAAAAAGTGGGATATAAATCTGATGAATAAATAAGCATTTAGGCAGCTGAAAGGTGCTCTGAGTTCTTTCCAGTAACATCATCCAATACCTTTCCAGGAGAATGGGCCAATGGCTAGTGTGTTGGATTGGATGCTGCTTTTAAAATGACAATTCCCATGGCTTTACAGCAGCAATTTCTCAGTACTCTCCCATCCTGGGAATGATCAGCAGAGATAGCAGTTTGTAGGCCACCAGGGAACCATTGTTTGCAGATACCCTGAGCACCTTCCAATTCTCCTTTGTCTATCTTTTCTGATGAAAGAGCTAGCAGAGTTTTGTTTTTTTGCTTGGTTTTTCTGGGCTGGCCCTGCTTGGCCAAAGTCCTCCAGACATCTTGGCCAAGCACCCGCGGTCTTCTTCCCAACTTTGAAGCTGGAGAAGTGTCAGGGAAAGCTGAATCGCTGGGACAATTTCCACCTGTCCATACAATCTTCAAACTTGGGATGAAAACTGGACACTGGTTATACTTGCCAAAGGACACCTGCCTTGGTGAGTGGAATTGTTGAAGCCTGTGCTTTACTGGGTTTAGAAAGGATGGGGAGAAGAAGGTGGAGATGGAGAAAAAGTTGCACAGAGGAGAGGACTTGACCCACCCAAGGGCTGCTTGGTCTCCCAGTGTTTCTTCCTGGCAGCTGTTATGAGGTTGAGATTCCTAAGCCTTCCTGATTTGCTAGAACTTCAGCAGCTGCTGCATGGTACAATGTTTTGATGTTGGACCTTGTGTTTCTTGCCCATTTTGAGGGGGGACATGCATACATTATTATCAGGAACATACATGAGAAATAGCAACAAGTTCATTCATTGTTCAACAAATTCTTTGCGAGCCACAGCAATGTTAGAAATTCTGACAAAATAATCTTCTTGCTTGAACAAGTGTAATTTGCTTATTTGTTATTACAATTATTATTTGAGAGAGAAAGAGTATGCCAAGGATCATAGGATTGTTCAGAGTTCCTCTTGAGAAGTGGTGGATGCTGCTACAATATCAAAAGTGGGGGGACTTTGCAATACAATCCTTCCACCTCTTCCTTGTAGCCACTGTGGAAAAACTTTGTTGAATACTTCCCACAGTCACAAATGTGGCCTTGAAGGAAAGGAGGAGGAGACATTCCAGGGAGAGAAGATGGCAGGATATGAAGAATCTTGGGGTCTTTCCAGTCCCTGTTGGTCAGAAGCTTGTCTAGAGAAAAAAATAAACATGGTGGACACACACATTGCCTGCATCCTCCTATCCCCTCTGGCAGCAGCTTGACAGGCTTTTGGCTATATGGAAGCCTCCAAGTTTAGAGGTTTTTGTCTCACATGGGTAAATCCATAAGATTGTCCCCTTAGAATAGTTTTGTATTGTCTGAGCACTCAATGAGTACTTGATAACCATGATATGATAATATGGAAGAAAATATTAGAAAGCACCATTAACAATGCACTTTTTGTCTGTTGGCTATATGTTTAAAAATAAATTGCACTGCGCTTCTCTAACATTCAGGAAAAAAAATGAAAATGTAAGATAGCTTCCTGGAAGCCTCTAGTTATATCTTAACTACTTATACCTAGTTAGTAAGTCTTTAAACTGTGGTTATTCTTTCTTATTTATTATTCTTTCAAATTTTTTTCAAAATAAGTCAATGGCTCAAAGGAGGCAGGCCTAATGAGTCTAATAAATGGAGTGAGGATGCTGTTCACCAGGTCACATGTTTAGCACTTGCCCTGGCACAATAACGTTTTTGCACATGTGTTTGTGCTGCTGAGATGGGCCTGGCAATACTTTCGATTTTTAGCACCTAGTTTCTGTAGTAAAGGTGATCGGGAAAGAACTGCGATTGCCTAGCACAGGGTTTTGCTTAATGTTTCTAAAGTTAATGTTTAGCAGTAGATAATTTTAATACTGGCAGAATTACATCTGTAGAATAGAGGAGAGTTGATGTGATGTTATGGAAGGCACATGTGTGTTGTGGAGGGATGTGCTTGAGAGGAGGTGGATTTTGCATCATTATCCAGTGCAATAGAGAAACAAAGGAGTCCTGGCTCTTCTTTCTCAGTTAAATAAATCTGATGGTCCAGTCTCTCCAGCTTTCCCTCTTTAGGAACAAAATCCCTCCAGTCCGCACACTTTGCAACATCTTCCATTGCTTTTCCTCATCTCCATTTATTCTGGTTCAGGATGAATTGTTTCTATAAGATTGAACAAACAGGAGTAGCTGTTTTGTAAATATGGCATCATTATGCAGTCTGGTATAAAACACAGAAGTGATGTGTCTTCATGGAGACTAATGATTAGACAATTGCTTCTTAATACCTGACCATTCTGGAATCTTCTGCTTAGTAAAATCTGATCAGGAATACTTTCCCATTTTGCAGCAGAGTGCTATAATTTCATTTGTCTACATGAAAAGAACAATAGACTAACAGCTTTCTATCTAGAGTGGACAGGAAGAGATAAGCTAAGAATGTATTTGCATGCTGGCTCACTCTTCCTAGTGACCTGAGAAGTGGACTTTGGCTGTCTGTTGGAATGTTTATGTTCTGCTTCCACCTTTGCTCAACCTCAGCCTGTATATTTGTAATGAACTCAAATATTATCAAACAACATGAACTCCAGCCATCTCCTGCCAAAGGAAGCTAAAGCTGTTTAAGTGCTACCCTCACTTCCCACCGCTTGGAAAAGGAGGGTGAATGTTACTATGCTCTGATGCTTTCATGCTGAACCTCTAGTTTTTCTTTTTTTGTACTTGAAATGGTCTTTGTTTCTGGAGAGTTTGAATATGTTCTCTTCCAAAGGAATACTGAAAATATTTTTAATCAGTTTTGGAGATAAATCAAGCCTACCCTCCCAAAATGCTTCACCTTTGTGAATGGATCTGCATCTGCATTCTGTCCTACAGTCTCAGTTATCTGGTCTCTAATGCAGATAATTTAAGCAGCCAAAAAACATAGCTTGGCCACCTTTTTTGTGTCCCCATTCCCTAAGAAGGGTATAAAGAAGCTGGAGCCAGGGGTCAGACTAGACGGCCCGGGAGACCCTTTCTGACTCGCTCTGCTTCTATGTTTCACGGCATTGGTTTTCCCTTCCTTTTGTTACTAATCACAATTGGGAATAAACTGAGTGTTTAAAGAGACCAAAAGTGAAAAGTTAGTGCAAATTTAGTGTTTCTAGCAATATGGCAGTATCGTGCTTGGTATTCAAGGAATCTGTTGATTGTATTTTAATAAGTGAGCATATTTGTAAAAGGAACTCAGTTTAAGAACACAAACATTGTTGTGCTGGAAGTAAACCAGGGTTCTGTTTCCCAGCAGTAGGAGTCATTTGCTTTGGAACGCTCATAGGCCGGGCATGATGCAACAGTCTTGTTGTTTGTTTGCAGTACATTGAAGTAACACTGCCAATGATCATGTAGATTCTTTTCTCTTGTTATGCCCCAGGAATGAATATTAGCAATTAATTTGTGCAATCCCTTTTCTTTAAACAGGGTTAGCATGTTTTTCCAGTGGCCATCACAATGTATTATGTTAATGAATTGTATATTCATTACATGTTAGATGAAGAAACTCATGCTTTTGTGTGCCCTGTCTACAGTCCTCTTCACTGGGCAACACCAAAATGCAAAAGTCCTAGTGGGTTGTTCTCTAAATGTTTCCCCTTTGCTCCCTTCATGCCATTAATGATCAGCAGTCTTACCATGTTGTTCTACTTCCTGATTTGTAGGGTGAAAATAAGGGTAAACTGGTTTGGAAGTGAACTATGTTTTTGTAGAATAGAAGTCTGTGTGTAAATTAGTGCAGTTATAAATAGAGCAGTACTTAATTCAGCATTCAGCAGATGCTTGATTGCACTCTGCACTAGTGTAGATTCAGAACCTTTCAGTTCTGCACTGACAGGTACATGTGAATTTATGGAAGTTTGATTTT